TTGGGAGGAGGCAGTGACTGCTTAGCAGGCAAAGGGATCCCTTTTAAAGTGACGAAAAATATTTTGGAACTGTTTGGTAATGGTTGTACAGCACTGAATGCTCTAAAAGCCACTGAATTGTACACTTCAGTGAATTTTGTGTTACGCGAATTTTACCACAGTAAAAAAAAAATTTTTTTTTAAGAAAGTGCTTTACATAAAAACATGAAGTAGGGGTGCTTGGGTGGCTCAGTCCATTAAGCGTCCAACTTAGGCTCAGGTTATGACCTCACGGTTTGTGGGTTCGAGCCCCCTGTCCGGCTCTGTGCTGACAGCTCGGAGCCTGGAGCCTACTTCGGATTCTGTGTCTCCCTCTCTCTCTCTGCCCCTCACCCACTCACACTCTGTCTCTCTCTCCTTCAAAAATAAACAAACATTTTATGGGGCGCCTGGGTGGCGCAGTCGGTTAAGCGTCCGACTTCAGCCAGGTCACGATCTCGCGGTCCGTGAGTTCGAGCCCCGCGTCGGGCTCTGGGCTGATGGCTCAGAGCCTGGAGCCTGTTTCTGATTCTGTGTCTCCCTCTCTCTCTGCCCCTCCCCCATTCATGCTCTGTCTCTCTCTGTCTCAAAAATAAATAAACGTTGAAAAAAAAATTAAAAAAAAAAACAAAAATAAACATTTTTAAAAAATTAAAAAAAAGAAACATGCAGTAAAACGACTTGAGTTGTAGGGAAACAGCTAAAATCATAACAATGATCCAGGAATGCCTAAAGTTTAGGGAATATTGCTTTGATCAAAATACTTAACAATAAAGTAGCTGCGCTGGCAGACCAGAGCAGCAGGCAGGCAGGGAGCCCCATGTTTAGGGAGAGGCCATCCAAGTGGAGAAAGGGCCGGAAATAAATGCAGCAGGATGATATTTTGAGATATCTGACTTTGTTCTTCCTGCTATGGAATTTCAGCCCCTGACTGAGGCAGCCAAGTGTATTGCCCCAGGGAAGGATGTGACAAGAGCAGAAAGCTTGCACAAAGGACTCTTTGTGGCTTTCACCTCCTACAGCTCAGAACTCTGGGGATCAGAGCTTTGCAGAAAAATATTTTGGGGCTTGAAGAGGGAGGTCAAAGAGGCCGCAGATTTGTCTACAGCAAGAGGAAAGATGAAGGGAAATGGGAGCAGAGAAGCTGGTAGGTCTCCCATCTTGGAAAGAAAAAATTCCTTATCTTGACCCTACATTACTTTCCAGCTACTGCCCCATTCCTCTGCTTCCCTTTATAATGAAACTCCAAGAAGTTTCCTGTATTCACTGTCCTCAGTTCCTCCCCTCCCTCTTTGCTCTGCTCTCTGTCAAAGATGCCATTACCCTGCTATGTTGCTTTGTCCTTTGCCCATTGTCCATCCTCACCTTGGCCACTCAGCATTTCAGGCAGTTGAGGCCTCCTCCTCCTCGAAACACTGTCTTCACCTGGCATGGGAGACGGAGGCACTGCACTCTCCCGATTTGCTTCTTCCCTCACACCGTTCCCTCCTTCTCAGTGTCTGGCTGATTTTACTCTCACTTCCTTCAGGTATCTTCTTAAAATTTTTTTTGTTTTTATTTTATATTTGAAAGAGAGAGAGAGCAAGCAGGGGAGGGGCAGAGAAATGGAGACAGAATCTGAAGCAGGCTCCAGGCTCCGAGCTGTCAGCATAGATCCCAACATGGGGCTTGAACTCACAGTGACATCATGACCTGA